ACGCAATCAAGAAACATGGAGAGTCAAGAGCTGTTGCGCTTGATAGTTCTAAGGCTTTTGACCGAGTGTAACATGAGGGTTTGCCGGCCAAACTTCGATATTATGGCTTGTCGGATCATTTCTGTGTATGGTTCTTCAGCTTCCTGAAAGAACGTTCCCTGCAAGTGGCCGTCAACGGGTATCTCTCGAATACTTTTACCATCAACGCTGGTGTTCCCCAGGAATCTATTTTGGATCCAACCCCCTTTCTATTGTTCATCAACACAAGTGTGCTGACAACAGCACACTTGTTTCGTCATTTCATTTGGCTTCCAGGACATCTACGGCGGATACACATCTTCACCGGCAGCAGAAGGTTACATATCTTAATGAGGATCTAAAAGTAATTTCGAATTGGGGTGAACGTAACCAGGTTCAATTCATTGACACAAAAACCCAGGCAACGTTTTTCTCCAAAAAGATAAATGTCTTCCAACCGGATATAATAATGACAGGTCAGACAATTCCACCTTCTCCTTCGAAAAGTTTATTGGGGGTTAAATTGAACACCAATATGTCTTGGTACAATCATGTCGCTGGAATGGCAAAAGCCGTTTCTCAAAAGCTTGGAACACTGTTCCGAACCAGAAAACTGTACAAACCTCAGCAAATTTTATTGATTTTTGAAGCTCAGATCAGACCTTCTCTGGAGTATTGTTCTCATGTATGGAGCTCTGCCCTGGATTCCATCCAGAAAAGAGCCATCCGCCTGATTGGAGACGCGATCATCACTTGCATTCTTGATAGTCTGGAACATCGAGAAAAGGTTGGATATTTTTCTCTCTTCTATAGATACTTTCACAGGAAGTGTTCAAGTGACTTGGCACATTTGATTCCACAATACATACGGTATATATCAGAAATATGCAACGGACTGTGGCTCCTCATCGATTTGAGGTTCAACTCAGTACACCACGAACTTCACTGTACAAGAACTCTTTCATGTGGAATAAACTTCCTGAGAACATTTTTTCCAAATGGATTCAATCTCCAACAATTCAAATCCAATGTGAATCACTAGTTTCTCACAGGCACCGCTCTTAGAACACCTTAAGGATTTTCCTGTAGTGCTTGTGTTTTCTCCATAAAAAACATCTCTTCTTGCGAAGACATCAGCTATTGGATCGACGGAAAACTAAGAAAACTCAATCCATAAAAATGACAGATGAACTAGGCTCCCCAAGGCGATCTGTTGCTAAACAAAGCCTTGACATCGACTACTGAACGAGACTTATTTGTCTTCCACTACAGTTTTTCACTGCAAGGCAACTTGTAGAGTCCAGAACCCATAAAGAAATCATTCGTGATTTATCACCAGACAGCGCTGTTTCGACCAACCACAGGTTCCATCAGTGGTGATGAACTGCATCACGAATGCATTGTTGGGCTCAATTGTCTTTGAAGTACAAGCCCGACTGAGTTTGAGACATTTCTATGTGTGATTCGAAGAGTGTCTTTTAACTTCTACAGCAGCTTCATAAACTACACCTCACGATTTGATCTCCACAAACTTCATTTGAAAAATATATATCATAACATGTTTCGCTAACACAGTAGGTTTATCAAGTGATTTGAATACTTCAAGTTGCTTCTTAGGCTAATATTTATTTAATACAGGTAACCATAATTGAAACCACCTCCAAAAAATTACCTAAACCTCTATCTAAGGTACCTGTTCAATTATGATCACCTGAAGCATATTACCTCACATCTACATCAATAATAATTCTTTCTCAGTTTTTAAGAAAACAAGTTCAATAATGGTGCTCTATTCAAATCCAGTTGGTCATTTATTAGAATTGTTGACTTTTTAAGTTTAGTAATTTCCATTGCTTCCAAATGATTCAGTTTCAAACCTTTACTTTCTATNAAACAATAACGAACGAAAAATACTAGTATTATTGTGAAAAAAGCGTGGGCTCTTTGTGCCATATTTTTGTATATCAAGTTTGTTTTAAAAAAATTATTAATTTTAACTTTTTAGTTCGATGTTCTTCAAAAGCGTGTTTTTTAGTTTTTTAAACTATATTTATTCATCTTATAATTCTATTACTATAGTAATAGTATCATCAGGGGGTATGCTGGGAAAATTTAGAAAATTCTGCAGCAGCTTTCACTACAAGTTAACTTGTAGAAACCAGATCCCAAATACAAAGCATTCAGACAGCGCTGTTTCAACCTGCTCTAGAATTAGCGCTTGGTTTTACAGCAGATTGCCTTGGGAACCTCATTTATTTGGACGGACTCTTCTGTCGATCCCATATATGTCGCTGTGAGGACAGCTGAGTGTGGAAATACATTCGTAGTTTAGCCTCGAATCTGTGATGAAACTTATTGTGGGTCGAAACAGCGCTGCCTGATGCTGGATAACGAATTATTTGTTTTTGGGCTCTGGTTTCTACATGTGAATTGCCAGTTCGAATGTTTTGGTTACCCAAAAATAACAAAGTTACCAATGGTACACCCCTAATTTTTTTCAGCCTGTAACGAAGGTTGTTATATCGGTTCAAGTTGTTTAAATATGAAATCAAATTATTGAATCTATTTCAACGCCATTTTCAATTATTTTTTATTTGAAGAATATACACAAAGACTACTTTATTCATAAACTATTATACTACAAACATTTTTCCCTCGAGAATATCAAAATGTATCTGTTCAATACTATCGTATGTCATTATCATTCAGTAGTATAACTGGAAATTTATCGATATATCCAACAACGTTACTTTCTTCTATTTGACGTCGGTTATTACCACGTTGTTGATTGTATTCATCTAAATTGATATTTTGAGTTGTGAAATCATAATTAGAGTCATCTGAATATGAAGGAGTTCCACTATTATGTTCTTCGCCAGAATGATTATTTATTGGCTTTCGATAGAAGTTTTCTATACTGGGATTCTGCTCATCATATTCCTTGAGGTAAGGATTTCCCCCAATATCATCTGTATAATAATAAGGATAATTGGGTGGATAAGATGGTGGTCTTCCGTGACCTTGATGACGGTGATGGTGACCTTGACTATGTTGTGGAGGACCACGTGGTGGATTGATTACCCCATTGCCATTAGGAGAAAGTCTAACTGGTCGACCGAAAATGAACGTTATTGGATTTTGTTCATATGGATTAGGATTTTGAGATATAACGGGATTTGATGAACTTTCTTCTTTAGTGATTTGAATTGTGAAAGGTTTCTGGCTACCAATAACATCTATCACTTTTTCAAGGCCGTTTTTTATTGCAGATGCAGAAAATGGAATATTCAGTTGGAACTGGCGTCCATTACCAAAATTAGGTAACTGCATCTCGTTCATTGGCCCGTGAAAACTTCTCAGAACTACAGTGGCAGCCGAAGCAACTGAAAAAAAAAATTAGTCTCTTATTATGGACCAACTCAATATCATGAACAAAAAAGAGTTGATCAACTTAGATTCAAAACATATCATTATTAATTTCTCATTATATAATATGAAATATTATATAAAACCAATATGAAATTTGTTACAAGACCCACAAGTTAACTTATATGTTCCCGATCTGTCCAAGTAATAGATGTATCAGGTGGATCAGGTGTATAAGATAATGATTGGTGTTTCGGATAGATCAAGAATATATGAGTTGAATGTGGTCTTGCTTATTATTTTATATCAGTGAAATAGGAAGAACTTTCTCCAATAGAATGAAACAACACAGTAATTGTGTTTGAATGAGAAAACCGATTCAACAGTTTAAACCATTTCTTTGAAAGAAAAAAGTTCAGCATCAAATATTTTAGAATGCTTGGAAATCAATAGATTAAATCATTCAGAATACCTGATCATTGATCAGATAGAAATAAATAATTGTTCTCTACCGAATTTGTTTTCTAACGATGAAACCATAAGTATTTTGAATATTTTTGAGTACGTACGAGAATCCAGGTAATATTAAATACGGGATAATTTCAATGATCTCATTCTTAGAAATTTAAAATCTCTATAGTTCAATTTTGAGAAAGCGTTCAATAATGAATCACTCAAAACTAATAATTCCAAAGACATGCTAATTTTCAGATAGCCATAACTACTTTACTGAAAACTTAGCAACAATTCATTGCTGACCAAAATGTTGACATGCCTTTGGAATTATTCATTTTGAGTGCATGCCTTTTGAAAATAGCAAAGTCATTATAATTTTCAACAAATCTGAACAAAAGTAGATAGGATTCATTTGTTCATTTATAACGATTGGGGGATTTTCAATTGTCAATATCAAAGTTACATCGAATGTAAAAATGAATGGATGTAGCTGTTTCTTCTTGGTAGATCATCAGGCAAAATGAGAACTGTCCTATGAGAACATTTTCAAATGAATACAGTAAAGTATATTGTAGTCTACAGGGAAAAATGTCATATTATCTCAATGACCCAATTCAACTATTTCAAGCGTCCACACTGATTACTTTATTAGATACTATGTTAGTTGAAATATTGATCACTTCAGAGGATAATTTCACTTGAAAACTTGGCATATTCCAAAAAAAACCTCGGAGTGTTAGACAAATACATTCCATTACCAACCATTTGAATGAATAATTCATTCTTTATAGGGGTCAATATTGACATTGACATAGACGACTAGTGTTTATTTATATGTCGCTTTAATAGAAAAGCGATCCACTTTGGTGAAGATGTTTGAAGTAGAAAGTGTCATCAGTGTTATACGACCAGTTTGGATTCTGGGTCAGTTATTTGGATTAGGCTTTTCGTTTGCTACTGAAAAAATAAAGGGTGAAAAACAAACTCTAATTAGATCAATACTCAAAGTTTTGTATAGTTGTACATCTATCCTGGTTACTTTATTTCTATCTTTTTACAATTCCGATTTCACCGTCAATGCTAATAGTAATTTGGTAATTCAATCCGCAGACCTTTTGAACCAACTGTCGAGTATTGTGGCCGCAATAGGAACTGTAATAATGAGTTCCATCTATCAGGATCGACTAACTACGCTGATTAAAAATGTGAATAACCTGGAAAATGACCTCCGCAGACTTCCGAAATGGACCAATTATAAATGGGTCAACATTTATTCCTACATGATGATTGCAGGAACATTTTCTTCATGGCTTTATTTTCTAAGGAGTTATATGAGTTCCTGCTCAGAAAGCGTGATAAAATGTTTCATTCTGTTTGTAAAATTATTCACTATAACGAAGATATTCGATGTGAATTTATTGCGATTTCAAGTTCAAATATGCATTATGTGGCATCAGATTCGCAATTTGAACGACAACTTCTTACAGTTCTCACAAGAAAAGATTACAGGACCCACAAGTTTCCTCAGAGGAACGGAACAAATCGAAACCCTCGAAAGGTTGAAAGAACTATACATGGATGTGTTGAGGCTAACAAAAGAAACGAATGAAATATACTCAGTTTCCTTGTTGCTCATCATATCTAATCAGTTCATATCAATTTTTAGTTCCATGTATTTCTGCTTTTTTGGATATTACATAGCAGGGGTTTACATAAAACCAAAGACCTTTGAAGAATTTATGACACCTCTGATGTCTTTAATTCACCCCACTATGCAGCTTCTGGTTACTGTTACTTTGTGTCAATCAACTGTCAATCAATCCAAGTATACAGGACTACTGCTCTATCGTATTCCAGTTTCCAAAGCTACAAAAATGTTGATGAAGAAGGTGAGATATTACTCTTTTATGTATGTTAATTATCCACACTTCACATATAATAACAAATTCAATCTTTAAGTTAATTGACAGAAAAAACGGTATTTCCAGATGCATTAGATGATGAAATAGCTTTTCGTGGTAAATTGTGGTATTGTTTGGTTGTATCTAGTGATATAATAGTGAACAGACTGCAATTTGAGTGGACCAGAAATGAAAAACTAAAAAATTAAAAAAAAAATCTCATAAATCAAACTCGCTCGAAAACGATAATAATTAGTTTCTTGGAAGCACAATCAGATCACAAGCAGAGCTTTTATCAAGGCACAACCACTCACACAGACACTCGGATTACAGGATGATCACAAAAGGTGGTTATTGCAGAAGGTTTCAACAGGAATTTGAAATATTGTCATGCATACTAGAGTTTTATGTTGACGTATGAAAGCAAAACATCTCTTCAGAGTAAGATATTGCTTGGGTGCCAGATAAGTGGATGTACAACTACGAGACTCTAAGCTAATCCCCAGATAGCAATGTTGCCACATACTATGGAGTGAAATTTTGCGTAATAAACCGTTAGTAGAGATTTGGTATCTAGTTTACTTTTTAGTGATTTCATTAGGTAATACGATTGGTTCAGTTTTTTAGATGTAAACTCTATATGTTCTCTCCATGTGAAAAGGGAATCAATCACTGTTCATAAAAACTTTGTACAAGTTGTTGATCTCAGAGATTCATTCAGAAAATTGAAGGTGAAGTTATGTAGACTCCGAGGAGAATATTCAAATTCAATGCAAACAGTCTTATTGACATTAACAATCAATCTGTTTTCAAAACACTACTCACTGAATTCTTGCAGTACAGGGTTGACTTGGGTATTCATTTCACCCGGTGTTTTGCTCGATAAGATGATAGACGTATCATCTGCATAAAGGTACACATTACCATAACTTATGTTATCAGGAAGATTATTGCCATAAAGTAAAAATATCAGTGGACCAAAAATACTACCCTGTGGTGTTCCTGTTGTAACAGAATACTAGTCAGATGATGTATTATTCTGTTTCACTTTGAAATATCGATTAGTTAAGAAGGACACGATGAGCCTATTGATATTGCCTGTGATACCAATGTTGAAGAGTTTTTTAGAAATTATTTCAATACTTAGAGTATCGAAAGCTCTACTTAAGTCGAACAAAAGTCCCACAACGAATTTTTTCTCATTGATTGAATCATGGATTTGTTGAACCAATTTGAGTGTTGCTGTTTCCGTTAAATGATTTTTTCGAAAGCCATGTTGGCACTTGGTCATCAAGTCGAATCTTTTCAGGTAGTCATTTATTCTGCGCGATATAATCTTTTCAAAGATTTTAGAGAAGATGCTGATAATCGATATGGGGCGATACTTCTCTATGTTAGTGCAATCGCCACTTATCAATATCGGGATCAATAGTGCGATTTTAAATAACTATCATTTACTGTAAATTTCACGATGAAAAATTTAAAAATGTTCAACAGTGGCTAGTACTCATTCAAAAACTTTCGCTTGGGCAAACCATCATTTCTATAGCTGGAAATAATAAAATATTTAGCTCTATTAATGAAACCACACCTTCACTGGGATGCAGATTTATAATATATTTGTACAAATATTTGAAGTTATCAATGTGACCTTGCATCATAGCAAAAAATACTATAAAGTGGTTCCAAAAGGTAACTGATAATTTCCATTGAATCATTGACGTATATATTCAGTATTCTCAGACAGTCAAGCGGCGTTGGAAGCTCTTGGCTTCTACAGAGCAACGTCCAAATTGGTAGCAAATTGCCAAAAACGACTACTAACAAAGCGTCTTCAGTTCAGTCAGGTTGAAGCCTAGCTCCTCTACCCTTGAAGCTGAATTTTGTCAGAAGGACAAATGGGTTCATGACTAAGAGGTGGTGACGGTATGAAAGTCCTCAAACATCAGTACCGCCCTTCACGGTGTACCCCTACCTGGCTGGGGTGGGATGGATGAGGAAATTATTCATCCGTTAACGGGGGACATGAGGGCTTCATTCGAAAGATTGTCGGGGCCTTCTATATCGGAAGGGGTCGTCTACAGCATAATCTATAGCTTCCCTAACTAACTGATCAAAAACGACTCTCCTCGATAGGAAGACTTAACAGATTGTCTCTGGTCTGGATTCCTGTCCATACTGGCCTGGAAGGCAATGAGGCTGCTGACTCTCGTATAAAGGAGGGTGCTGCAAGCGGCTTCATTGGACCAGAACCTGTCATTGGCATCGCTTTGGGCTTTGCCAAACAATTATTGAACACCTGGATGGTCAGAAGATTTATGGACTACCGACAGAATCTTTCAGGATTGGATCACTCCAAGGCGCTTATTCACCCTTCGAAGCTTGATACCAACAGACTACAGTAGGAATGAACTACGATGTCTAACAGGCCACTGTCATTTAAATCATTATATGCAGAGACTCGGACTGTTGGAAGACAGTCAGTCATACTTTGTGCCTGCACCGCTGGGAACCGAATCAGGTTTTTAGAGTTCGGCAGAGCCGTACTCACCATACAATCTAATCGGCTTCTTTAAGGAGCTGGATTTATTTGGTCGAGTGTGAATAGGTGTGAGTCACAATAAACCTTTGCGAGTTGCGGTGGAGGGTCGAATAGACCCACTCACTTTGGACCTAACCCAACTCAACCTAATATATTTAGTGACCAACGAAGTCTTTCATTCAGAGGTCCTCAGAAACAATTACGATTGAATTCTTTTAATTTTTTTTTTTTTCATATCATTTGAAATCAGAAATATTTTGTAGCGGGGACAGAACTACTTTGGAAGGGAAAATAATTTTATGGAAATTTTCAATAATTCTCAGAAATTACATGCAGCAGCTGAAATTCGCCTGGTCGAAGAACCACGTGAGGAAGTATTTTTTAATGAATGTACTGATTGTATTCACAACTCTATACAACTGACAGAACTGCGATAGCAATGTTTCATTGCATTATCTTTGAAGAAAAAGAGTGTAGATAATTTTCAGAGATATACTGAATTTGATCCTGAATGATAAAATCAGCAGGTAGATACTCAACAGAGATTGAAGATAAGATTATTGGTAGACCGTTTACAAGCAAGGGTATATTATTTACCTGAAAAAAGACGCAGACGAAGAATGTGGTTAAAAA